GGGAGATAGATTATAAGGGTCTTTCCCTTTCGGCTCTTGTATGTAGGGAGGGATCGCACGCTACGGGAGGTCACTGATAAAGATAGTAACGAATCAATGTTACACATATACACTCTCTCTCAGTCTCACAATGCTCTAGAGTACGCTAGACCGTATGACGCCACGAGAGAGCAGAGACGAGTAGCTGCGTCACATCACTGCTCACAGTGAATCTTCCAAAGTTTCTCCCCGTTCCTTTTTTGCGACTCACCTTCCCTCCGTGAGAGAATACCGCCATTAATTCAACAACTCTACCAGGTAGAAGCTTAAAGAGAATAATGAGAGAGGGAGAACAATCTAATTTAGCCTATATGCATTACCGCTTTGTGAGCCTTTTATTTTGAGACAATGCCTTACCGTTTAAATCAGAAAAAAAATAAATGCACAGGGATTAATCTTTTCATCAAACTACTCCCCCTCCCCCCCCTCAACCACCAACACCGATTATTTTTTTTTCTCTTCACTTTTTTTTTTACGGTAATGGTAGCTGCTATCACAACCAATAGAAAAAATCTCATAAATGGTTCTAAAATACTTTCAAAAATGGTTCTGCCTCCTAAAATGCCTTGCCATATTAAAACATCAGGATATGTTTAGGCAATAAGGAATGGTTGTTATGGAAACCGTTGAGGAAATAGGAATTCATCTATGCAGGGAATTATGAAAATGAATAACTGAATGGACCTGAATAACGACGTAGTGTTGCCGTAGAATTATTAGCTGCCGCTTTCACAGACATTGCCATATCATTTTTGCGACGAGGCTTTGGGAATGAGATCCCATTGGCAGAATTCATAAAAGAATAACAAAAAGAGGTCGACGCTGATTGACTGAGGAGTCGCCGGTGATTTGGTCGATGTACGTCATTGACGAGAAAAATAATGAAATAATCGACCCTCTTTGTTTTCTTTTGTAAGGGGCGTAGACATGTGATAACTTTGCGAAGAAAGTTTGTTATTGATCATGTATAAACGTTTGATGTGAATACTTGATGTTCTTTGAGGGTATAAGCTACGGATTCCAAGATTTTTTTTTTTCAAGAAGTGATACACGGTTGATCCTTTAAAAGAAATCCAGAGGCTTGTGCAGCGTCCCGGTATCTTAAGAAAAATCAATCCTTTTGCCTTCCAAGAGATGTATGACCTTTCCTAAATCCACTCTGCCATTCACGCTCATTTTCAATGTTGTCTTAACTTGAGATTATCAAATCTAATTTCTTCTCCCTCTCTATTCATGGTTGTTTATATCCCGTTGCGCATTCTCGGTAGAGCACAGCAAAAATAGCCCTTTTCTCTCTTTCTTTCTTTTTAGCTCAAGACTTTTGACCCACACTTTTGAAAGCTCTCGTTAACACCATTTAGTGATGTATATATAACTCATCACTTTTGTATATATGTTTCTTCATATTCCTGAAATCCTTATAAAAGGGTTCTAAAGCTCCGTCCAGTTTGCAGTGTTTGAGGTTACAGTACAAAGCGACTTATACCGCGGTGACATAAGCCTGCTCTAGAAGGATTTTACATTGTCAAAGAATGTCGTAAATGTTGATAACGTTTAGGTACTTTTGTTTGACAAAATATTTTTACCTAGTCCATTGACGAAATAATAACAAAAAGAAGAGAACAGCATAGAAGTGAACAGAACTAAACAATGAAGAAGTACAATTTGTAAGACGAGTCATTTGTACAAAACAATAACAAAAAGAAATAAAGAAATATACAAACCACTTTGTACCGAAAATAAAACATCAACATACTTTAACAAAGGCATGGAAATAATCCTCTATTTTTTTATTCACTTATTTATCTATTTATTCAAGAATTTATATACTTATTTACAGTTAAAAGCCCAAATCGAACAAGTGGAGGCGTCTGTTGCAGTCGAGGTTACTGAAGCAGACGGGGAGGGCGAGGACGCAGCTGCTCAGGTAGGAGGCGGTGACTAAAAATATAACAGGATGTTGGATTAAATCTCTGCGTGTGTGAAAATAATGTACAAAGGGATAAAATACCGTTGTTTTTATCATTATGTGTTATCACCTGTACTTCGATATCAGCTGCTTCTACTACTACTATGATTGTTATATTAATGTTGTTATCATCATCATCACCAGCCGTTGTTATTACGACCGCTACTGCTGATGCTATAATTGATGATGATAATGATGATAAGGATAATCAATGGTAATAGTATTAATAACGATAACTATACTGATAATGGTTATGATAATGATAGAATTTATGAAAATAATGATAATATAAACAACAGCAACAATGATGATAATAATAATAATAAAGATGACGACGATAGTAACGACAACAATAAATATCATCATAAGAATAGTAATAAGTATAATAATGATAGTATTAATAACAAAATGATACATAAAGATAATGATAATGCCAATGATAGAGATAACATTAACGATATTAATGACATTAACAACAATAAAAAAAATCACCATTTTGATATTAAGTAAAACAACCCAGACAAAAAAATCGAGGAGAGTAACAAAACCCTTGTACATTCCAGAACGCCGAGGGCCTAACACAAGCAGACACAGACGAGCCCAAAAGTTTCTCCAGCAGCGGGTCAGCAGAACGCTAGC